AAAAAAAAAATGAGCTCATCTTAGTCACATTTATCTTTGAAATAATATATTTGTATAAGTAAAGGGTCTCAGTATTATTCATACCAAAAATTAAAAATATTGAAATAGCATATACCACATACAAGAAGCTGTGGCTCTTGGGGTTTGTAGCAAATATACTTTGCTGCCTTATTTGTTTTTTATTTTGTTCTACCTTAGTCAAGAGGAAAAGTATCTAATGACATATAAAGGTAAAGAACTATAAAATAATTTTTTAAAGCTTAAAAAATAATATTTAGTTTGTATTTAAAATTTAATTGGGAGTTAGTACCTAATAGGAATCAGATATAAGGGTTCTTCTTCCAAATATGTACTTGAAAATCCATATGCAGTAAATGGAAATGCTGTAGGTTGACACATATGCATAAATGTCCCCTTGAAAGAAAAAGAAAAATACAGGATATGTCATAGACGAAAGTCTAACTTTGCTTTTCAATTTTATTTTTGTAAATGTTAGTTGTCCACTGCCCTGCCCTGAAGCCTCCTGAAAATGGTTACTTTATCCAAAACACTTGCAACAACCACTTCAATGCAGCCTGTGGGGTCCGATGTCACCCTGGATTTGACCTTGTGGGAAGCAGCATCATCTTGTGTCTACCCAATGGTTTGTGGTCCGGTTCAGAGAGCTACTGCAGAGGTATGCAAACTGCTAATTTACATTGTTTATTTATTGTCTTGCTTGATTTTCTTGATTTAAGCTCTAGTAAACCAGTCAGTTCTTCATTTCTTTTTGGATTTCATAGACCCCACACTACAGAAAGAGAAAAATTATAGGAAATTTGAAATCAGACCTACCAAGTTCAATTGACCACGTAATTGTAAACTACGCCTTTTATATCCCTTTTATGAACAAGCAAAGAAAAAGTTTGCCTGAGAAGTAAATGGACAGGTTACCCCAAACCTCAAATTTCAAGCCTCCAAGACATGGTATAAAGGAGAGTTTAGAATTATCGGAGTGGAAACTTTGATGCCTCCTGGAATTGTAGGACTTAAGGAATCACAGAAGCATCCTGCAACAAGAGCAGTTAGCCAACTTGTAATCTCCAGCCTTTACTTCGGCTGGTCGACCTGTTATAGAAAGTAGAGAATTTGTCAACGTGAGAGCCCAAGGAGCCTATTCAGGCCAATAGAGAGTGGGCACCACCAATAGAATCTGAGGCTCCCATGTCAAATACAGAGAAGCAATAATAATAATAATAAAAATATGTAGTGCCTCAATCTGCCTCCACTTGCCATCTCCAGGACCTACTTTCCTACTTCTTACAACTGTCACACAACCAACTTCCTAGGGTTTTACAAGTAGGGTTGGAAGAGGAGGATATTTAAGAAAAGGTAAGAGGGGGGCAAGCCAAGGGACTTGAGGACCTCCATCAGAATCCCTGACCACGAAGCTTCTCGGTACAGTATCTGCTCCCTACCTACAGTTGCCAGGTGAAACACGGGATGCCAGTTAAATTTGAATTTTTGATAAACAAATAATATTTTAGTACATGTAGGTCCCCTTCAAGATTTGGAACCAACTTATACTAAAAAATTATTTGTTGATTTTCTGAAATTTAAATTTAACTGGGTGTCCTGGTTCATCGGTTTGTTTGTTGCTAAATCTGGCAACCTTACTCCCACCACATCCCCTAGTCATTTTTTGGCAGAACACTTTGCTGAGGATTTGACTGCTCCAAAACCCTACAAATCAGCTGGATCACTGGTTTAAGATAAGTAGTTCTGTCTTCTGGTCTTTTCTTGGCATCCATATCCATAAAGTAGAACCACCTACTCGTGACTCCAAGATCATTTGTGAATCCCAGGAGACATCTGTGTGGGTACCAATTTATTAGGTACCAATACTGAACTCATCTATAAATGTAAATTGGCCTACATGGTATCCCCAAAAGACAAGGAAAACTGAAAAGAATCGGCAGATTGAACAAAGGAGACCTGACAGAAAAGAAAGAAAAACGCAATCACTGAGATTCAAAGGCAACTACATTGCTAAAATAAGGCCAGGATTCCAAGCAATGAAAGAAATTTGAGAGTAAAAATATGTATTCGAAGTAAAAAAAAAAAAAAAGTTACTGACACGATGAATGGACCTAGTCAGAAGTCAAATTAATAAATTAGAAAACCAACTCAAGAAATTCATTTGAAAGTCCATCAAAAAAATTCAGAGATAAAAATATGAAACAATAAAGTAACATGAGAATAGTCACAGGAAGTAGACTCTTTTCACATGAGGAATCCAGAGAGAGAACAGAATGGAGGAGATGCACCAGTAGAAGATCTAAAGATATATCCCCGAACTGAAATTTTGAAAATATTCACAACCCAAATCTTGGATATTCAATTTAACATTACTTAGTAAGTGCCACAAAAAAATATTAAAAACAGATTTATGTCTGGAAATAATCTTAGTGAACTTTCTGAATGCCCTAGAAAAACAGAAAACTGTGTCCCTTTCATAGTTAGAAACAACACTACCTACCAAGGAGAAAGAATCAGATTAGCCTTAGGCCCCTTTGTTGGCTATTCTCAATGTTAGAAAATAAGACTATGTTGCCAGGATTCTGAGGGAAAAGAATAGACCCTAGATTTCTAAACTCAAGCAAGCTACTGTTCATGTGTGAAGGCAAAGGAAAGACATTTTCAGTCATGCAGCCTCAAATGGTAAAAAGCCACATACCATTACTGAAAAAATGAATCCTTGAAAACTTGTAAAATACATTTTTGTGAAGTCAATAGTTCTAAGTTCTGTGTAAAATCTTTACCCCTTCTTCCAAATACCTTATGGTGGAGCATGGGAAATACTACATTTTAACTTGCCACTCAGTAGCCTTCCAAAGAGAAGTAAGAAAATCAGAGAAGACTGCCCTTTCAGGATAAGGTCTGGCCCCTGCCTGTCGAGCCTCCACCCTCCATCACCAACCCTTGTGTGTGTGACCCTAAAGCTGTAAGAAATAGCCATGCTCTCTCAGGAAGCCGGCCCTTTGAAGCTGTTCCCGCAGCCTGGTTCTGCCTTTGCTCTGGGTCCTCTCAACCTCCACTGCTGCCAACCTCCTCCTCCTGAATGGGATGACCTCTACACATGCATCTGCATATGCAGACCTACCCCCACCCCTCATTGTGTTTCTTATGCTATGTGTCAGGGTCAGTCAGGGAAGCACAGTCACCATGCATGTTATGGGATGAGAAATTTATTTCAGGAAATGGAGCTTACACAATTTTAGAAGGAGCTTGGAAACAGAAGAGGAGTGGGAGGATCAGAGGAGTTCTTGACAAGTCAACTTGAGAGCCTGCCCAGCTTTTGAAGTGGAATTGCTAAGGAGAAACTCATGGAAGGCCTAAGAGAAGCTTTACTTCTGTGTAGTTATGTTTCTGTGGCTCTGCAGCCAAGAACCTTGCAATGAACATGGAGCCACCACTGGTCATGGGATCAGCAGTGGGGACGTGGAATGAAGGCAAACAAGGGCAAGCTGGAACCCCCTGGGTGTTACTCCATTTTTCTATCACTGACTGATGACAATGACCACTTCCTCACTTCTGCCTTCCAAAATCAAGTCCAAGTTCCTCTTTTGATCAACCCTAACTTGGAACCACAGTAAAGGGATTCTGGCAGACATATTTCCCAATGTAACTAATTTGTCGCAATACAAAGTGCCACACTTTTATTGGTAATTAAGTTGTCTACCCCCTCTGCTAAACTGAATTCATTATGAGCATAGAATGTACTTTTGGCCCTCAATCATTGATGATACCTCTGGTGAATGAATGGAAACTTGAATTTAAAAAATACAGATATCGATAAAGGTATACATTGATGTACCTTGATAAATACAGTATATACATTGATGACCTGCTTCTGTCATTCATATTAAAAACCATGCATGGGTGTGATGGCACAAGCTTGTAATCCCAGCTACTTAGGAGGCCGAGGCAGGAGGGTCACTTGAACACAGGAGTTGGAGGCTGCAGTGAGCCATCATTGCACAACTGTCCTCCAGCCTGGGTGACAGATTGAGACCCTGTCTACAAAAAAGCATGCTTGTTCTCTTTCATGTAATTTCAATTGCAATTCCAATATAAATAAAATAATTTAAAGCAGAGTAAGGAGAGATGCTACAATTCAACTTCACCACCAAAGTTACTGCTAACCTACCAGTATACAAAATTGTACTGAATGAAGGTACTTACCCAGGTCCTTACACTTTCACTAATGCTCAATGTATTTAGTTACATCAGATATTGTTCTATGAAACACATACCATATTTCACTAAATCTGAAACACATTTTTAAAAACATTTTAACATCTCTAAAATGGAGATGCATCTTAAAATCAGTGGCGGTAAACCCTTTATTGGCATTACTGTTTCTTTGTTAGTGGCACATAAAATAATATTGTGTCTTACAATGGGGGATTCAGTGAAATATGGCGGTTAGGTAGGAATTCATTTCTGTTTCATGGTGGTTAGTATGGAGAAAGTAGTATATTTTTACAGATTTAATTATAAGAACAGTGAATAATTTTAGTTATATTACACCTTCTTAAAAATATTTGTAAGATTGAGGCAGAAATGGAAGACCTGCATAAAATCTAAAGACTTTTACAAATGTCATGTTACATTGTTAATGTTTTTGTGGATGTTGACTAATAATTGGTAAGCTTGATTCTCATTTCTCCTATGCACTTTTCATAAAGCACTTATACTCATTTTCAGTTTTATCTGAATTCTGCATTTCTTTCTAAACAGGAAAGGATTCTTTTGTGGTTTCTCAGTCTTAACTAAATAAACCTGAGAAAAAACGTTCAACCAATGAAGGTTCAGTAATAGATACTATCACAATTTGGAGACTAACAGGAAGCACGTGCCTGGAAAAAAAATCTGATTACTCTTTAAGATGGGAACCAGAGTAGCTTCTTACATTATCTACTACAAGTACTGTTCTCTTAAAAGTCTAAGTTGCTGTTTTCTAAAAAGACCAAATAAATATTTAGGGATTGTGATAACATAAATGTAAGTCAAGAAATATTAATTGTAGGATTTTTCAGCTTGTTGAAATGAAAAAAAAAATAAGTTGAAAATTCTTTAAGAAGTGTGTTCCTATTAAAATGATATTAAGTGTTCATTCTTGAGTGAAATGTTTAAGGACTAAATAGGAATCATTGTATATGCTTTGTTTACACTGGGGAGCAATGGAAGTTTATTAATACCAACATCTGAGAAGCAGTATAATTTGCATCTGTATGAGGTACCGACTCTAATTTATTATTTGGTCTCAGGTTAGGAAAGCTAGAGTCATCTTGGCAGTTTGTTGAAGCCAAAACATTGTTTAATATGGTTTTCCAAATTTTATACATCAGAATTTATCTGATTCACCTTTTAATCCTATCTTACACTTGGCATTGTGATACACATGAAGGACACACGCAATAAAAGTCAAAATGCGGAAGACAAGATGTTTCCATGCACTTGGTAGACACAATAAAGATTCTATTTGTATAATGGACACATTCAGGAAAAATTAAAACATGGAAGGCAAAATGTTTCTGATCATTTTTTATTAATACTTGACTTTGGTCCAAACTATTCCAGGGATAAAAGAGGCTAGGACTTATTATTTAATCTCTAATCTAACTCTTGCATTTTCTCTAAGGAGTAATCGATCCTAAACTTTTATTTAATGCACATAATATTGATGCGCTGCTGATTAATATAATTTGAATGGGTTCATTGTAGGATAAATTCAAACAATGACTTCAGTTGAATATGCACTTGAACATTTTGCCTCCAGCTTCCTTTCCTGATATTTTAAGGTTGTCTTCAATGTAACTAAATATATGCATGGTATGAACAATTGGCAAATGCAGAAAAGTAGAAGAAGAAAATATATATCCCACCCGGAGTCTCAACAAAATTCTTGAGTCCCAAATGTTTTGTTCAAAAATCTTTAGAGATTGTTGTAAGAGCTCTCCGAGAGGAAACCAAACTTTATTCTTTTGCAGGGGTTATTTCTGTCTTTTGTACAATGCCCGATGCTTGTAGGATTCTATCTATAATCTATCAAGATTAATATATGTCCCCATCATTTGGCATATTCAACAGGCACCGATCTTTTTTCCTCTCCAATCTCTGTTCATGACTGGAATGTGCATGTCTTCTGACTGAGAGGGTGCATTTTCCATGGGTCTTGACAGCTCCCCCATCTTCCTCTTTCTTTTTCCCTGTTTATTCTTTCCCCTCCCCCTCCCCTACCCTCCTTTCCTACTCTGACTTCCCCTTCCCCTCACCCTGCTCTTCCTCTTCTCCTCTCCTCTTCATCTCCTCCACCTATGTTTCCCCTCCCTTTCTCTTTCCTTTCTTCTCCCCTCCCTTCTTCACGGCTTTTCCTTTCTCCTTTACACTCCTCCCTCCTTCTCCTGCTTGGAAACCCTGATTGGAGAGAATCTAAGTTAGAACTAGAGAAGTGTAGGACAAGATTATAAACTCTTTCTAGAGGGTTTTCTCTAAAGAGGAGAACACAGAACGTGATATATCAGAGGCTCCTGGAGAGTATGGGAACTGATGGAGTTAAAGCACTTGAAGGAGTGATCCCAGAAGATAAGAGGTGATTGTCAGAGACTAGGAAACTTGGATTGGTGACAGCGAGGTCTAGGGGGCATGGCAATGGTAGAAGCTGAGATAAGGTGAAGGATATGATCGTTAGAAAAGAGATCATTCTGTAAGCTGCCTGTTCACTCTGATGATAGTTTCTTTTGCTGTGCAGAAGCTCTTTAGTTTAATTAGATCCCATTTGTCAATTTTGACTTTTGTTGCCATTGCTTTTGGTGTTTTAGTCATGAAGTCTTTGCCCATGCCTGTGTCCTGAATGGTACTGCCTAGGTTTTCTTCTAGGGTTCACATAGCAAAGACTTGGAACCAACCCAAATGCCTACTAATGATAGACTGGATAAAGAAAATGTGGCACATATGCATCATGAAATACTATGCAGCCATAGGAAAAGATGAGTTCAAGGGACATGGATGAAGCTGGAAACCATCATTCTCAGCAAACTAACACAAGAACAGAAAACCAAACTCCGCATGTTCTCACTCATAAGTGGGAGTTAAACAATGAGAACACATGGACACAGGGAGGGGAATATCACACACCAGAGCCTGTCGGAGGGTAGGAGAGCTAGGGGAGAGATAACATTAGGAGAAATACTTAATGTAGATGATGGGTTGATGGGTGCAGCAAACCACCATGGCACGTGTATACTTATGTAACAAACCTGCATGTTCTGCACATATACCCCAGAACTTAAAGTGTAATAAAAAAAAAAAAAGAGAGAGAGAAAAGAAAAGAAGAGATCGGGAATATAACTCCAGGATACTGGAATGATCATTTACATAGATAAGGAAGTCACTAAGGTGTGTATGTATGTGTGTGAGAGAGAAGGAGAGAGAGAAAAAGGAGAGAGGAGAGAGAGAGACAGAGAATTTAAAAAAGGATATTGGATATATAATATGATACTTCAAAGGACCTGGAAGTTTTTAGGAAGGAAGGAGAGAGAATGATGTAGGAAGACAATCAGGAGCAACAGAGACACCTCCTCACCTCCAGTCCCTGTTATAGAAGACAACACGATTTTTATTAAGGCAATCAAGTGAAGGAAAAGTAGCTCAAAGGGAAGTTTAGGATATGAATTGATTTACTGAAACCCACCGTTATTCCAGAAGGCAGGTCCAAGGGTCTGTGGGGATAGATTTGGAACACAGCTGTATGTGGATAACCCTGGTGGATGAGAGATAACTAGGGAGCCTTGGACTTTCTAAGAGATTGCCATCAACAGGAATATAGAAAATGATGGAATCAATGGAATTGGACTCTAACATACATTGTTGGGTTTGAGTGGGCAGTTGGAGACTCTTACCAGGAAAACTCAGAGCACAGACATCGTTTGGGAACCTGCAGAGGCTGGAGCAGCGTGAGCGCTCTCCGGTAGCTTCTCTGATGTAGTGTTGAGGACAGAGACTCAAAGGTGGCAGAACCGCGGAAATGCAGATTTCTCTGGATAACTCGTGGCACTTTTTCTGATGGTGATGTTGAGGCTGGCTGAGGTATGGGGGCGTTTTCAGCATCCACAGTTTAGCGAATATCCTTCCTACTGTTTTCTCATGGTGAATTCAAAGAACATGAAGAAAACCATGTCACCAGTTATGCCTGCTCACTTCTCTGGCCAGGGGAATGTGCTCCTAGATACATGCTCTACCCCTGAGCACATTTGGAGCACACACACATCCCATGATCCAAGAGAGGGGAAAGATCTTTCCCTAAAAAATTAACAAAGGAAAAGTTAATGGATGCTGGGCAGATGGAATTAGAAATTGTGTATAGCTGGTATCAAGGACCTAAATAACAATGTCTTAAGCCAATTAAGGGTTCATTTTTCTTTTAACTAAAAGGACAGAAGTAGGTAAGCCAAAGTTGGTGTAATAGCTCCACTGTCATCAGAGACCCAGACTTCCTATGCTTTTTGCTATACCATCATGGTGCATGATATGTTCCCATAGTATCATATACTTATACTCTAGTATGCTGGGCTACCATTCCTCATGTCTGTATTGTGGAAGAAAAGGAGAAGGGAGCAGGGAAGGGAAAGAAGTACTCTCTCAATTGAGACAGCCCCCTTTAAAAAGCTTTCCAAGAAGCCCTGCTCAATCTCAGCTTTTTCTTATTGGCTTTCATTAGTTGATGCGGAGGTGGACAGTTGTAGTCTTCTAGCTGGGCATATTACTAAGCTTAATAAAACTGGTGAGAATGGCTATTGGGTGGGCAACTATAAGCCTCTACCACAGCAGTAAAAATAAACAAACGGATGTTAATGCATAATTCGAGATTTGCATCATGAGCTATGATTGGCAGGAATATTTGTGGGAATGAGAAGTAAAAAAGCTAGAAGAACAAGAGTTGGGGTTGGACAGCAGATTGAACTGAAGATTGCAAAAGTTGGGCAGCTTTGCAGAAACTAACACTATTAGGAGGCCTAGGATATGCCCATGAGGTCTAAGAACCAAGTTGATCATGAGCCTGAAAACTCTGTCCTGGAAAAGACCACTTCCTTTGTTGGAATGTTGCCTGAAAAATCACAGGAAAGGCCCAGCTAGGAGTATCAGGTACCTCCCTTTTGTGATCACCTCCAATCTACAGTTACCATCTTCCATGTAGGGCCAGGCCCTTCAGACAGGTTAAGTTTCCCACTTATGGGCAGAGGGGCTGCATGCTGTGATACTATTTGGGCAATGCATTTGGTAAAACATGAACTTTCAATTGTCCCGTAAGAACTCAAAAAATGGTGGTGTATTATGTATCGTTTGCTATTTTAAGAAAAGAAAATTGTCTTGTTTACACTGTGCAGGCATTGCTAAACTTGTAATTATTATCTTTATTCTTATTTAGTAAAATTTGATCTAATTGCTTTCATTTTATGTAGTAAGAACATGTCCTCATCTCCGCCAGCCCAAACATGGCCACATGAGCTGTTCTACAAGGGAAATGTTATATAAGACAACATGTTTCATTGCCTGTGATGAAGGGTACAGACTAGAAGGCAATGATAAGCTTACTTGTCAAGGAAACAGCCATTGGGATGGGCCAGAACCCCGGTGTGTGGGTAAGTTTCTAGAAGGTATAATGCCTTGGGTGATTCATTTCCTCTGCTCTGATTTCTCCAGTATTCTGTGAAGACCTAGAACTAAACACTAGCTGGTAATGAGTATAACACATGTACAGGTGTAGGTGTTATAGATACAAAAACAAATGTGTTGTCTTACTCCTCTCCCCTAGTCAAGGAACCTCTACAATGAATTCTGTTGTCCAACTCACAGAAGTTTATACCTTCAAATGACCATGTCTTTTTTCTTAGTTTTAATTGAGGCCAATTTGGATGGATTTTTTAAAAACGCAAATGCCTCATCATTCCCTTGCTTTGTTAAACATGTTTTACATTTATGTTATTAATGGAAGGACAAAATTAGGAACTGGTGAATCTTTAAAATTGCTTTATTATTACACAAGAACAAATAAAAATATCCGAACATTCAACTGAAAAGTTAGGAAAATAAAACAACTGCAAGGAAAATTGAAAGAAGGATATAACCAGAATTGTTTAAGTAAATGAAAAAGAACTCTCAGAATTGTTTAGGTAAATGAAAAAGAACTATCAGAATTGTTTAGGTAAATGAAAAAGAACTATCAGAATTGTTTAAGTAAATGAAAAAGAACTATAAAGGGAGAATGGATGCAGTAGAATAGTTAAGAAGCAAAGCTTTAAATAAAGTAATAAAATAGAATTTAAATTATAAGTAAGAAAAATTCAAAAATAGAATTTTTCTGGCCGGACAAGGTGGCTCACGCCTGTAATCCCAGCACTTTGGGAGACTGAGGTGAACGAATCATGAGGTCAGAGTCGGAGACCAGCCTGGCCAACATGGTGAAACCCTGTCTCTACTAAAAATACAAAAAATGAGCTAGGTGTGGTGGCAGGTGCCTATAATCCCAGCTACTCGGGAGGCTGAGGCAGGAGAATCTCTTGAACCCGGGAGGTGGAGGTTACAGTGAGCCAGGATTGCGGCACTGCACTCCAGCCTCAGCGACAGTGCAAGACTGTCTCAAAAAAATAAAAAATTTAAAAAATAGAATTTTTCTAAGAAGTTTCCATACCATATAGTTTGGCCCAAATAATGGAAAGCCAGCCAATTCATATTCTTGAACTATTATTATTTCATTGTCAACCTGACAATTATTACCAAAAAAAGATAGAAAATTATAGACCAATACATATAACTGTAAAAGCAAATATACTAGCAACCCACATTGAAAAAAGAATAGTCAGCCAAAACAAGTAAAGTTTATTCTAAGATTGCAAAAAGGAGTTAACATTAAGTAATCTATCAGTATAATACATTACTTCATTATAGCAAATTGGAAAAAAATTGTACAGTTGCTTAGCAGAAGATAAAAATTCATTATTTAAGACACATTTTCAGTAAAATTTTTAAAAGCTCATATTGGTATAACTCACTTAATAAAAAATGTCAATCTGAAATCTGCAGCCACTTATGGAGAAACAATATAGACAGTCTTATCAAATCTGGCAAAAGAAAAATGTACTCACATTGTTTAGTACTATTCTTAAATCTTCAGCTATTGTAAGAAATTATGAGATTAGAGATACTGGGATTCAAGATCGTCATCATTTGTAGACTACAAGCCTGCCCCCCCTCCCCCCTCCAAGAAATAGAATGAATCTACTAATCAATGAGAGGTCATTAAAGTCACAAGAATAGCAAATATATCTGCCAGCAGAGATTTGAAAAAATAAATAAATAAAAATAAAACAAACAGCTTTTCTATATACAATGATAAGCAGAACATATGGTAAAATATGACATTCAAAAGATCTATGGAAAATATAAAATATGTCAGAATAACCTTAAATAGAAATGTGTGGAACCTGTATTAAGCAAACCAGAAAAATGTTACTGAGAGATGAAAATAATATTTTAATATTTATATAAAATGTTTTCAAAATGTTAAGTTCTTTCCAAATGATGTATTTTTATATAAATTATTTATATTAATTTGTATATATTTACATTACTACATAATTTATATATTATATATTATAATTCTATAATTTATATATTTATATTAATTATATTAATATCTAGTAACATTTATGTTAAGTTCTTTCCAAATTAACATAAGGAAAGAACACATTACATATATATGTATTGCATATACATGTAATACATTGAATGCAAACTCATTCAATAGCCTAAAAGGGATTTTCTTTTTTGCCCTTCTTTTGGAATTAGGGATTGATTCTAGGATTCATCTAGAAAACCGTTATAGTGAAAAAAATCACTAAAATCAGTTTGAAAAGGAAGATTAATAGGAATAGTAAATAGAAAGTAGCTCTAGCAGGTTTTCAAATCTTTTTTAATCTGCAAAGATTAAGAATATGCAAGGATTACCATACAGATCACAATTAAGGAAGCATCACAGGTCAGTTGAGGGAAAAAATGATTTCTTTAACTGATCATAAGGGAAAATTGACTAGCTCCTTGTGAAAAACAGAATAAAATAAAGTTTTCTGTATGTTTTCAATTCACACTGAACACTGAAAAAATATCTTCATAGATTTTAAAAGATAAAGTAAAAGTAAAACCATTAAAACCTAGAAGAGAATCTATTTAACATATGTAAGTGAATGCTGACCAATCTCAGAACTTACTAAGCATAAAAGCAATGGAAATACTTCAAAAAGAAAAAAACTCAGTAGATTAGACTATATAAAAGTTTAAGACGTATTCACTGAAAAGTACCATAAACAAGCAATAAAAAAAGAATAAAATCTTCAACAACTTTGACAGCCAAAAGGATAATTTTCTTGCTTTATATAGGGCCGGCCCTAAATAAAGGATACTGAGTCTCACATTGTCATTATATTCGAACCACAAACTTGGCTTTGATTTTCCTGTTGATCAAAGTAGACTAGGAGCTCTGGGCAGGCATGCAGTTCACACTGTGCAGAAATAAAGAGACAAACCATTTCTCAAGAAAAAATGGCTTTTGCTGGCACAGTTCGGAAGGAAATTATTTCACGGGGGAGGTATGATAGTGGAGTGTTTAGTAGCAAGTAAGTTTTGCCACTTACTTGCGTGGTGACCTTAGGAAAGTTACTAGTGTGCTCAGTTTTTGTGTGTAAGTTGGAATACTTCTTACAACATATAATTAAATAAGTCAATACATGCAAAGTGCTTAGAATAATGCCTGGCACATAGTAGGTAGTGAATAAATGTTAGCCATTTATTCAACTATTCTAATAACATGGAAAATACAGACTAAAGATGTGAGTAACGCTGCCAGTAGATTCTCTACTACAAAAAACAAATGTGCATATGGGTGTGTGCACGTGCTGCCCCCCTCACATACACTCCCTGTATTAAGTCCTAGCCTTGATTTTTCATTCTATCTGCATTCTGCCTAATTCATCTGCTATTCTTTTTCTGTGCTAAATATAGCATTCAAGGTCAAGGCCCTAAATACAACACAGTGATTTTAGGAAGGCTATTAGAAACTTTTCTCATTATATGCTTGCTTAAAAATAGCACCAAAAAGCTCATAAAATAGAGATTGCTGAATATATCACTTAAACCATGAAATATAGAATTCAATTTATGACTTTCTACTTCTAAGCCATAAAATAATATTCTGCAAACCAAATGAATGTGCTCCAAGCAAATGATAAAAGTCACAATCAGTGTTAATTAAAATATCAGAAGTTTTTGAAAGTTTTGATGCACTGGCAAAAATAGTAAAAGATAACTAAAGAGGTATAGGTTAGCATTATTTGCAATACATTATACATTCAGTGTCATATATAGTTATCATTTAGCAATTTACATAAATCCCAGGGCAGCATAATTGTATTTTTCTTGGGTAAAAAAGAATCTGTGGCATTTCCAATTTGTGGGAACACGAGTAACATTCTCTCTCATTTCCCTACTGTAGAGCGCCACTGCTCCACCTTTCAGACGCCCAAAGATGTCATCATATCCCCCCACAACTGTGGCAAGCAGCCAGCCAAATTTGGGACAATCTGCTATGTAAGTTGCCGCCAAGGGTTCATTTTATCTGGAATCAAAGAAATGCTGAGATGTACCACTTCTGGAAAATGGAATGTCGGAGTTCAGACAGCTGTGTGTAAAGGTAGGTCTCTACACTGGTCAGGTTAAAAATCAAATGTGTTAATAATGCCATGTAGGTGCAGTATAGGACAATCCTTCTTTGCAACTTTTGCTGCAAACCCATGATAATATGGTAGGTGCTACCCCAATATCCACTATGAGGATTTCTGATTCAAAGTGGTGGATTTACAAAATCCAATTACAAAATGCCAGACAATGACATAAGAAATACATAAATAAGGAAAATAGTAGAACTGAAAATCAGGTAAGTTTTCCATAAGACTAAAATCTTTAGGGAAGTCTTGGTCTATATAAAACAGGTGAGATGGAATTGATTTTCAAAAAAAAGCTATCAGCACTTTGAAACCTGGCATCACATTCCATTCATAAGAGGACATTGCCATTTTCTCTGCAACAAGAGCAGACCACTATGAGAAAAAGAGTTATCAAAAACGTAAAAGAGTTCTTAGAAGTAAAAAAGTCCTGACTATCTCTAAGAGAAGGACAAGGGCAAATGAATGGAATGATTGCTGTTGGTAATTTAAAAGACCAAATTGAGAGTTTCCTCACAATGGAGAACTGAATGAGTAAACAAAGAAAGCACTTGAATTTCCCAACTGATCAAACCAAAAAGATGGAAGTTGAGGGATGCCAGTGACAGAAGGGAAAAAAAAAAAAAAACCTCAATGTCCATTTATTAAGGAGTTCCAGAAGGAGAGAGGCAGAGAGGAGAAGAGATAGAGAAGAATTTTTCTACCAAGAGAAGAAAATTTCTCTGAGCTAGAGAATGACTTAATCCTTTAGACCACAAATAACTCCTGAGTATTGGGTTGGCATACTTTGACTACTCGTAGTGAAATTTCCGAGTTCCAGAGTTAATGGAAAAATCTGAAATAATTTTCCCTGGCGAAAGAAAGAAATTGTACAAAAGAAACGAGAATTAGATTCACGTTACGTATCTCATTTACAACTTTAAATGCCACAAGGAAATGTAGCAATGTGTACAGGATATGGAGAGCAAATAAATATGAACTTTAGATTCCAGGTCCAGTCAAGCTATTGTTTAAGCATGAATGAAAAATCAAATACTTAAAAAAAATATTTTCAGAGCTAATATGCTACTATGTGTTCCTGTGGGAGAACGTTGTTGAAGTATAAGCCCCTTTGAGAAAAAGAAGATATAAATTGAATAAAATTTTGAAGAAACAAGAAGACATGAGACTTAATGAAATCAATTCAGATATATTCAGCCAGAAGTTACAGAAGACATAATTTAACATAAATTAAAATAAAAGATGTATTTTATCATATAACAAAAACTTAGCACTACCATGACTGGTGTGCATCTGTGTAATGTTAGCACGTCTAATTCAGCACCATAGTATGAAGTAAAAAATATAATTGGCTTAAATTTGTTGTTTGCTTTGACAGTACGTTTCAGTTTCTGCTAGTTAATTCTACTTGACAGCCTCATTTTCAAGTGTAGTTTCTACCTGTCACAGTCAACATTCATTTTTAAATTATTTCGTTCAAAAAATATTTCTCAAGCTCCTATTATATGCCAGGGACCCTATAAGACAGTGGGGCAAGACATCCTGACCTTCAAATAACTTAAATTCTACTAGGGGAGAAAATTCCATTTCAAAATAGCTTGTTGAGTTTTATTGTTGGGAAGTCCAGAGGGTTATAGGATCTTGTGGAGTGGGCACCTCAAAAGGGCCTGGAGAATCAGCAAGAGCTTCCTGAGGAGCTGGGTCTAAGCTGAGAGTTCGAGGATAAGTACTAGACATCCAGGTAAAGAGAGAAGAGGGCACTAATTCACGCAAATAAAAGAACATGGGCAAAGGCCCAAGTAAAAGAAAGGCCATGGCCTGACAGTAACTCAACGTGGAAAATGAGTTCCAGTAGGAGAAAAGGAAGAAATGAGGCTACGAGGTCAATAGGTGCCAGTTCAGGATTGGGTTCGTAAGCCATGCTGAGATAAATGATCAGGAAAGCAGGTGCAGATTCTGAACAATCAGTAACTGGGATGTACAAATGTGTCACAATGTATTAACATAAACTAGATTTTTACCTCTTCCTTAAATGATCTAGGACTACATGTCAGTGTATTAATCGACTTGTGTATTTTCTGAGTTAGATGTGGAGGCTCCCCAAATCACCTGTCCTAAGGACATAGAGGCTAAGACTCTGGAACAACAAGATTCTGCCAATGTTACCTGGCAGATTCCAACAGCTAAAGACAACTCTGGTGAAAAGGTAAGGTTTGCACAATGATGTACATCCTTTTTCAAATGAATTCTAAATATACTACAGATATGTGTGTTGAAGACTTACTAATATGCTCATGATAATACTTCTATTAGGGTTATCTATAGGGACAGAACTAATAGGATAGAGGTATATATGAAAGGGAGTTTATTAAGGACTGTTGACTCACACCATCACAAGGTGAAGTTCCACAATAGGCCATCTGCAAGCTGAGGAGCAAGGAAGCCAGTCCAAGTCCCAAAACCTCAAAAGTGGGGAAGCCAATAGTGCAGCCTTCAGTTAGTGGCCAAAGGCCCAAGAACCCCTGGCAAACCACTGGTATAAGTACAAGAGTCCAAAAGCTGAAGAACTTGAAGTCAAATGTTCAAGGGCAGGAAGCATCCAGCACAGGAGAAAGATGAAGGCCGGAAGACTCAGCGGGTCTGCTCTTCTTGCTTTCCTCTGCCTGCTTTATTCTAGCTGAACTGGCAGCTGATCAGATGGTGCCTACGCAGACTGAGGCTGGGTCTGCCTCTCCCAATCCTCCAACTCAAATGTTAATCTTTGGCAACATCCTCACAGACACACCCAGGAACAATACTTTGTATCCTTCAATCCAATCAAGTTGATGTTCAATATTAACCATCACAATACTCTTTGTGTATAAATTCTACTCATAAATGTGAATGCTGCATCTGATAGAATAATGATCAACCTTGAATTTTTAATTGGAAATCTCAGATAAAATCCTCAAAACCAGAAACTTTTCATTCTATGGATTTGTTGTATTATTGTAGCCACTAAGATTACTTGACTAAGAATTCTTTGCCCTTTACTAGGTTCTGAGGATCTTTAAGAGAAGAAAAGAAAAAATGTAGAATCGACTATAATTCCTATTTATGAAACTATCTTTTAAAATATGGGTCCAAAATGATTGTGTATTTTTCAGTCAGAAAGAGATAGCATTGGTGTTTCTTATTCAAGCTTGTCTAAATCCAGCATTATTCAGAACACAGTATTTTAATTTTCTTTGTATAGTAGCTTGAAATAATCATCCATCAGATGTTAGAAAAATAGTTCATTTAGGAATTTTACTTCCTCTTATATGTACGTGGTTAGTATTTGCATACATTAAGATGCACTTAAATACTATGTTATTTCTACAGTTATCTGTAAATATATATAAGTTGTACCAATCAGGATACATTGGTGCCGGGGGAATGTAGAGCGCAACATGGAAAAAATAACTGTTCTGATCATTGTGTTTAATATACTTACAATCAAGGTAGCTTTTAAATCTGATTTGAAAAGAGCAAATGTGATTTCTAGGGCTGAATGTACTTTAGGGGATTTGTGTGTTGAGCAGTGTCTCATGTGTGATATTTCCACCACATCTTTTTCTTTTCACCCTGACCCTCCTGCCTTCCCCTTATAAGGACTCTTGAGATTACATTGAGCCCATCTGGATAATTCAGGAGACTCTCTTAATTTTAAGATTCTTAATTTAGTCATGTCTGCTAAGTCCTTTTTGCCATGGAAGGTAATGTATTCACAGGTTCCAGGGATTAGAATATGGATGATCTTTGTGGGGGCTGTTATTCAGCCTACCACATGGGGGAAGAACTTGAATGTGCTTAAAAGAATAAAAATAGAAATGAAGAGAACCAATTGAGATGAAGAAGTTGAATATACAAGGAAAAGAGGGGGCAATTCATTGTGAATGGCTTCTCTTCAGAAAGTGGTCAGACCTGAAGCTTAACTAAAGAGAGTGAGAGAGTTTTGAAGTTTTAGGAGAACTGAGAAGTTTTTAAAAACTCATTCTGAGAGGGAGAGTGAGCAAACCAGAGAAATATACTAGGATTATTTGGCTACTATTGAGGGTCCATTTGAGTTCTGTGATCATGAACTTATAGAGATTAATCTGCACTATTGTGTGAATTTCTCTGACATTGATGTGACTCTCCAACACAGGCATGAAGAAAGTAAATAATTGGGTTTCTTTATAATGTAGAGTTTTGAAAGAAAAAAAGACAGAGAAACAAGGCAGTTTAGACAATTGGGGAAAAAGCCCCACTACATTTATTGTAATAATAGAACATGAACTCAAAGCAGGGTAAGAAAGAATAAAAAGAAAGAACTTATGATGCTATCATGAACATCCTTGTACTAAGTCTTTATCTTTTGTCTCTGATTATTCCCCCAGAAAATTTCCAAAAAGAGAAATTTCTTGGTAGAAAAGTAGGGTGCTAAATTATATGTACAGTGCAATCAAAACTATAATTGTGTAACTGATATTGAATAGTCTGAACTAGAATAGGCACCAGTGGAAAAATAACTATTTTTCTACAGTCACAAGCTTTGGTTACTCTAGGGTATACCAGTAGTTCTTTCCATAATTAAAAACCACTTTCAAGGATTAGAAAGAAGAGTCTTGCTGTCTAAATAAAAACTTGAATCATGTATCCACTTCAAAGCTTTTTCCTCTTGCAGCTCAGAGGTGGCCTGACTGACTTGAGAACGGAGGAGCAATGGATATTCTTTTCCTCCTTCTATGCCTCCCCATCTCTGTTTGTGGCCTCTCTAGGGTCACGGCTGGTGGGATAAACAGAAAAATGGCTACCTCAAAGATATCCTTGTCATAATCCCTAGAACCCATGAATATGCTTCCTTACATAGCAAAGGATCTTTGTAGATGTGATGAAAGTAAGGACTGTGAGATGGGAGGATGATCGTGGATTATCCAGGTGAATCCAACTTAATCACATGAGTCCTTAAAAGAGAAGTACTTTTCCCAGCTGTGGTTACAGAGCGATGCTATAACAGAAGAAGGATTTGAGAGATGTGCAGTGAGAAGGACTCAATCTGCCATCAGTGGCTTTAAAGTTAGAGGAGGAGGACCAAGCAGACAGCCTCTGTAAGCTAGAAGAGGCAAGGAAACAGATTCTCCCTCAGAGCCTCCAGAAAGGAACTCAGCCCTACTAACACTTTCATTTCAACCCTATAAGATCCATTAGTGTCTCTAACCTATAAGACCACAAGATAATACATTTTTGTTGTGTTTGTTTGTTTTTTGCTTTTTGTTTGTTTGAGACAGAGTCTTACTCTGTCTCCAGGCTGGAATGCAGTGGCGTGATCTCGGCTCACTGCAGCCTCCACCTCCCAGGTTCAAGTGATTCTCCTACCTCAGCCTCCCAAGTAGCCGGGATTACAAGGCAAGCGCCACCACACCTGGCTATTTTTTGTATTTTTAGTAGAGACGGGTTTCCGCCATGTTGGCCAGACTGGTCTTGAACTCCTGATCTAGTGATCCTCCTGCCTCGGCCTCCTAAAGTGCTGGGATTACAGGTGTGAGCCACCGTGCCTAGCCCATTTCTTTTGTTTTAAGCTGCCAAGTTTTAAGGAATTTGCTATGGAAACAATAGGAAATGAACACAGCTGGGAAAGGAGTGTTTTTGAGGAAAGCTTCAAAAGTCTTTCATTTGTTTAAGGCTGTGTGGCACTCTCTGTATTGCTGATGCACTGTGAGAAGGAAAAAAGAAAAAAAGAAAACCATTGTTTCTCTCATGTAGTCCATGTGCAGATTCAGCAGGAGGCCCTGTAGGAGCACCACCCCCTCCCCAACCCCTTATAGTTACCTGCCATGAAGGTGCATTCTGGCAGGACCCCTTCTGCCCTTCCCCTTAGCTCCAGGCCGTGTCATACATCCCACAACCTCTCAAAACCCCTAGAGCAGGGTATAGGGCAGAACGACTCAAGCACTGCCATTTCCCCTTTCAGCCTATGTGTCTTCACCATGCCAACAACTGTTAGTACAGGCTGACCCATGTTCAGAACAGCCTTCCTCCCAGTCTGTCCATATTGCTCAAATAAGCCTCCTGACTTCAGCATTCACCAGGAGAGATGCAGCCACCTGTCAACATTCATATATGCCCCTAAACTCCAAGGTGTGGGTGTCGGTCTCATCCAGTACCCCTCACATTGGGGTGAATCTGTGGGTTTCTACTGCCCAGCAAGCATCCAGCCTGGGAATGGGATGTGGGTCTCCCTTTTCTGTAGGCACTCCCTGCCCCCTGCCAATGTTCTATGAGTGGTTGTCTGAAGCCCAGCCACTTGGTTTAAGGCAGTATTCCTCCCCATTCCTTCTCCCATGGAGAAGACAGGGGAAATGTCCCAACACTCTACCCAAGTGAATTCTCCTATTTCATATATATGTGTGTTTGTGTGTGTGTGTGTGTGTATTCTATATTCTATATATAGATATATAGATATATAGATAGATATAGATATAGCTATAGATATAGATCTAGATATATCTTGTAATATGGGCTGGTGGTAAGTGCAAGGGGCACAGGACCAGTCCAGCCACTGCTGTGTCAGCCTCCTGGCAATTTTTCCATTCTTAGGAGCTCTCTTTAGAATATGTGATTACTTACCCTTTATACTCTTCAGCTTTAGGGCTGTAGCTGCAATTATATGTGGAAGCAACATAGTCTTTTTAAATAAAGTTTTAAAAACATGCATAAGCCTTTCATTACCCAATTATCTGTGGCAAAAATATAAGAGTGTCTGTTGCATTTCACTCAAGTAAAATGAGCAAATTATCAGTTTAACTTTTCAGCAGCTTATAGTTTGTTGATATAATCTGGGATTCTTATTCTAATTTATTATAGATTAATTAATATAGTTTTTTACATTATGCATATTCCCTTCAAAAAGTCATAACCTTTGATAACACATGAACCCTAACAACCACAATTTTTCATACCGAGTATGTGTTTACATAGTTTTGGTGTTTGCTGTCAGTTCTTCACACCATGACTTTTCTCTCTTATGAGGGATTTGTTGTGATTCACCTCATTTGGTAGGTTCAGGTAGGTTCAAAATCCATTCTTTCAGAAAAAGTATAAACAGGTCGTATATTTACTAAGCCTTTGCATGTACAAGAACATCTTTTATTTCCAGATGAGCATTTAATGACTAAGAGAAAGGTAATATAGGCTGATTACTATCTTTTTTTCTGAAAATCTCCTTTTTTTTCTTTCTGAATGCTGTGAGAATTTTTAATTGTACATCAAGTTATCTGAGATTTGTTTAAGTGATGCTTGTTGTTTATCTATTTTAGTACATCGAGAGTCCTTTTTATGTACAGAGTCATAGCTTTCTTCAAATCAAAGTTTTCTTCTATATCTTAGAACATTTTTCCTATTCCATTCATTCTGTTTTCTTAAGGAACACTGATGATTCATAAGTTATATCTCGAATTTCTGTTCTGTGTGTCTATTATCTGTTCCATGATTTGTACTCTAAGTTTTCCTCTGTGTCCTGAATGAGACTTTTAAACTTACCCTTTGCATCCCTGATTTAATTTCCTGGAGCAAAATAACTATTTGACTACCAAGATACAGATAAATTCACACACACACACACACACACACACACACACACACACACCATTCTATAAAATACGTAATGCTATATATAGTAATAGGTTACTTAAGTAGGTTAAAAAGGGATTCTACTTACAATGCAAGATAAAATATAAAATATTTAGGTTTCTATTTAAAAAGAAGGGTGAATGGCACCCTAAAGGAAAATATAAAACATTGGCAGGTGAAATAATGAAATCAAATGGAAATACATGCCATATTTGTAGATTAAAAAACAAAATGTTTCGTTCTAGCTTTTCTGAAAGAAAAAAATTAAAAAGCAAAATATTTATCGAATAAATATATTTCAAAGGCATTCAGCATATTTTTGAGCATGAAAAGTGATTCTGCAATGGAAAGTAGAAGAATACCTAGATTAAAGTATCAAAAAGAATAATAAGAAACAACTGGATCCATCAGAAATCAAAACATTTAATAAAATAAAAATAAACAGAATGATGCAGTACTATTCCATAAAGATGGATTTTAAAATATCATAAAGGGTGATAATTTAAAAATACAGTGAGTGATTTTTAAGATGTAAAGTTATACTCTCAAATCATACCACACAGAAAATATATTTCCAAATTATACTTTAAATCATTTAAAAAGCTACCATCAAATATATTTGGATGCTTATCAAATCATTTCATAAATAGCTTTCTAATCTTATTTGAAATATTCTTCAAACTGCAGTGAAGAAGAAATTTATTAATTTTTCAATGGATGAAAAAATAAACATACAATTCAGGAAGTAAAAAATATAATACATGCAAACTTGAGAATATAATCTTAGCATGTAGCATTAAGAAACAGCTCATTAAAGCAATTACCTGGTGCCAAATTTTTGACTTAACCAAAAATTGATAATATTTAATATAGATCAGAAAATGTGGGGAACTTCGACACTCGTTGACAGTGGGAATATGAATTGTTACCATTCATTTGGAAATAAATTTTATATTATCTACTAATAAAATGTTAACATTTGGGTTTAATAATTCTGTTCATGAAACTCTATTATAAGGAAATAATAAATAAGCAAAATAAGCCAAGCACAGAAAGACAAATATCTCAGGTGAGAGCTAAAAAAAAGTGTATCTCATGAAGATAGAGAGTAGACTGGTAGTTATCAGAGGCCAAGAAAGGTGGGGGAGGGAGAGATAAGAGAAGTTAATTAATGGGTACGAATATATGTTTTGATAGAAGTCATAAGACCTCGTCTTACTTAGATCAGTAGGTTGACTATAGTTTGCAATAATCGATTGTATATTCCAAAATAACTAGAAGGGAAGAATTTTAATGATTCCAGCATAAAGAAAAGATAAATATTTAAGGTGATGGATATCTGAAGTATAGTGATTGATCTTCATAAATTATATGAATGTGTGAAATTATCACATGTACCCTGAAACTATGTATATCTATTATGCATCAATAAAGAAAATAAGAAGAAAAATATTTTTAAATTATCTGTTCAAAACTGTTTACAATGGAAATGTTTGGGTCAAACTAATGTCCTTCAACAGATTTTTCTTAAATTATCATATATTTATTCTACAGAACATTATGGAAATATTTAAGAGTCATTTTAAGTTGTAAAGACTGCATAAGAATGTAAAAGACGTTTTAAAACATAAAAGACATTTAAAAAACAAGGAGCAACATTTTGTTGTGTGCCAGTTCTATAAATCATTTACATAGGATAATCTGGAAAGAAATATGCCAGAAAACTGTGCCTTTTTCCTTTCCTCTATGTGAAATATTGTATCATTGTTAACATTACTAATAATATATAAATCAAAAAACAATAAACGCACTTTTGACGTTAACTTTCAAAATATTTATGTATCTCCAAAAGGTGTCAATCCACGTTCATCCAGCTTTCACCCCACCTTACCTTTTCCCAATTGGAGATGTTGCTATCGTATACACAGCAACTGACCTATCCGGCAACCAAGCCAGCTGCGTTTTCCATATCAAGGTTATTGGTAAGTGATATAGTTTGGTTGTTTCCCCATCCAAGTGTCATCTTGAATTGTGTCTCCCATAATTCCCATGTGCCATAGGAAGGACCCAGTGGGAGGTAATTGAATCATAGAAGTGGGTCTTTCCCATGCTGTCCTCATGATAGTGAATAACTGTCACAAGATCTGACGGCTTTATAAAGGGGAGTTCCCCTGCACATGCTCTCTTGCCTGCCACCGTGCAAGACGTGGCTTTGCTCCTTCTTTGCTTTCTGCCATGATTGTGAGGCCTCCCCAGCCATGTGGAACTGTGAGTCTATTAAACCTCTTTCCTTGATAAATTACCCAGTCTCAGGTATGTCTTTGTTAGCAGCATGAGAACAGACTAATACAGTAAGTTTTCATCAAATCATTGGGCAGTTTTGTGAAAGCAATCCAGAACCCCAGAGACCACTTCTCCTTTATGATCAACAACTCCCTTGTCACTGATTCTTCCAACTGGCATTGAAACTTGCTCAAACCACTCCCTGTTTGAAACCTACATACCCTTTAACTATCACCACTTCTTTTTGATTTCTTCCCATATGAACCCACATGAAAGTTCCCAATGCTTGCCATGTCTTTCTGCTTAATTGCCATTTATTCTGAGTCACCCAAGTCTGGCTTCTGTCCCCTTCACTCGTGTAAACTACTGTCATCAAAGTCACCAGTGATCTCTAGTGTTACTCTGTACTTTTTGGTCCTCATTTTACATAATCTTTCCTCATATTTTACATTTATTTAATTTTTTCAGAGACAGGGTCTCAGTCTGTCCTCCAGGCTGGAGTGAGTGCTGTGCCACAATCATAGCTCACTGCAGCCTCAAACTCCTAGGCTCAAGCAATCCTCCTGCCTTAGCCTCCCAAATAGCTGGGACTACAGGCATGTGCCAGCACACCCAGCTAATTTTTTTATTTTTTATTTTTTTGTAGAGACGAGGTCTCACTGTATTCCCAGGCTGGTCTCAAACACCTGACCTCAAGTGATCCTCTCACCTTGGCCTCCCAAAATGCTGGGATTATAGGTGTGAGCCACTATACTCAGCTACATTGTACATTATTAACCACACACTTCTTATCAAAACTTTTTCCTTCCCTTAGCTTCTTTGATGTTAGTCTTTCCCATCTTCTTTTTTTTCCTCCGTTATTTTTATCTAACCTTCTTTATTTCTTTTGTGGGTTTCTCTTCCTCAGGCTAATTCTCAAATGTTGATCATCTCTAGGGTTTCAGCCCTGGCCTTCTCTTTCTCTCTTTGCAGTTTTCCTGAGTGATTCTGTTCACTGACAACTCCCATATTCCTATTTCCAGTTCAAATCTCTTTTCTGGAATCCAAACTGGACTCTGAAAGCCTCGTGGACTTTCCCCATATTAATGCCTCACAGGCATTTCAAACTCACCCAAATTATTTCCTAGCTCAGAAAAGGATGCAACCAACCACCTAGCTACCAAGCAAAAACATTGGAAGTCATGCTTGACTCCTTGCCCTCTCACCAATATCCAAGACGGTATCAGGTGCTGTTGGTTTCACTTACTTGATATCTCTGAAATTTGTCCCATTCTCTCCATCCTCAGAGCCACCATGGCGGATCAGTCCTTTTAAATCTTTTGAGCCTGGTTTACTGTATCATCTCTCAATTGGTCTTCTGCGCATTACCAAAACAAAATACATGAAGAGGTAGGCTACGTAGCAATCTGTAGTGGGCAAGAGCATGGACTCTGAACCCAAGCTGCTTAGGTTCGTGTTCATCTGCACCACTTGAAGTCAAGGGTTGCTGCTCCATACCTCAATTTCTTTATCCAAAAATAAAATTAACGAATGTATTACCTCATTGTAAGATTTTAAATTTGTGATGATATATAAACCACTTGATCTAGTGCCTGCCATACTTTAAGCTCTGCGTGAAAGCTAGATGACAACATACTGACATTTTGCAATATTTATCTCAGGTCTATTTTTCTTATGTTTATTTTAAAATTCATTATGTTAAATTCATTTTGTTTTAAAAATGTTACATAACTTATTGAAATAACTAACATATATTAAACTGGTTCCTTACCCTATACATTACAGGTTTTGGTAAAAGTAGATGAAAGAAATCCAGTAAAAATCCGACTATTTCACAAGGCTTAGTTTTTAAAAATTCCTTTTTCCATGTTGTTTTAAACATGAGCATTTCCATTTGCATGAAAAATATGTTGGATTCTCAAAAATCTGACACAGTGATTTTAGACTTGGAAATGTGGTCAAAAGTTTGCCAAGTTTTAATTTTTCATAATGAAGAGTCAACATAGTGAAATGTGAAATGTGTACTCGAGTGGCTACTAGACTTTAACTGAATTCCCAAATTATAAAAGAGAGAGGGCCGGGCGTGGTGGCTCACCCTGTAATACCAGCACTTTGGGAGGCCGAGGCAGGCAGATCACCTGAGGTGGGGAGTTCCAGACCAGCCTGACCAATGTGGAGAGACCCCATCTCTACTAAAAATACAAAATTAGCCAGGTGTGGTGGCACATGACTGTAATCCCAGCTACTTGGGAGACTGAAGCAGGAGAATTGCTTAAACTTAGGAGGCGGAGGTTGCAGTGAGCCAAGATCGCACCCTTGCACTCCAGCCTGGGCAACAAGAGCAAAACTCCATCTCAAAAAGAGAGAGAGAGAGAGAAAGAGAGAGAGAAGGTCCAGGCGTGGTGGCTCACACCTGTAATCACAGGACATTGGGAGGCCGAGGCAGATGAATCACCTGAGGTCAGGAATTCGAGACCAGCCTGGCCAACATGTTGAAACCCTGTCTCTACTAAAAGTACGAAAATCAGCTGGGTGTGGTGACACATGACTGTATTCTCAGCTATTTGGGAGAATGAAGCAGGAGAATTGCTTGAATCCGGGAGACAGAGGTTGCAGTAAGCCAAGATCACGCCACTGCTCTCCAGCCTGGGGGACAGAGAGAGACTCCATCTAAAAAAAAAAAAAGAGAGAGAGAGAGAGAGAGAGAAAGAGAAAGAAGGAGAAGGAAGATGAAGCAGGGGAAGATGGAAGCAGAAGCAGAGAGGGATATAGGGAGGGAGAGGGAGAGAGAGAGAAAGAGAGAGAGACAGACAGACAGAAACAGATAGAAAGGGACAGAGAGACAGAGAGAGAAAGAAAATACACCAAAGCTTACATTTTTCTTATTTTCTCCAGGGTGTTGGTGTCACCCTGATAAATGAGACGCAAGCCAGGAATGCTTCTCCTTGGCTGCCACAGAGTGCTGTCTCACTTGCTTTGAAGTGGGCTGTCTCGCTCCTTTGGAGACAGTACATCTGCTGGCACCTCCAATTCTTTTGAAAGTGATTGACCGAGCCTTACTGCCCTCTTGCACCTGTGATTTAACTTTAAAACATCTGAATAAAATCAGATATGCTCAGAAAATCTTTGAATATTCAATTGTCATTTCTTTTGGCAAAATAGTAAATACTACCGGATTTGTAAATTTAGCTATGAATTGACTTGATTCAGCATTCTCAAAGTACACTGACCTGCTATGAGCATTGCTTTATCCTTTATTCAGCAACTTGTTTTGAGCACCTGTTATAGAACAGATGCTGTGCTATCTAGTGGAGATCTGAACAAAAGGGACTGCATCACTGGTCTACAGAGTGTACAGTGTAGTAAAGTAATAAACCTAAGGTCTGCACTAATGAAATAACAAACATGAGGAAAAGACAAAAATTGAACATATGTTCACGAGACTTAGCTGAAAATGGGAATCCATATATTCTCACAGGTGCAGTTCAGTTAATTTCAGAGTATGTATTTGCATGTTTCTTGGATAGGAATACTTGGTCTTAATGCTTGTGGCTACAATTTAATAGCTTACTGACCTCAAGCAAGTTTCTTAAGTTTGCCTCGTCTAACATTCCTCACATACAAAATTAGAAAAATGATGTTTTTGCTATCTCCCTCAAACCTCAAAGGCATGTAATAAGAACATTTCAGATGTATAAAATGCATAATTAAATTAAAATAAAATTATTTCCTATACACCCTCCTTTTTAATTTAATTTTAAGTCAGGATACAAGTGCAGGATGTGCAAGTTTGTTACATAGGTAAATGTGTGCCATGTTGGTTTGCTGTACCTATCAACCCATCACCTAGGTATTGAGCCCCGCATGCATTAGCTGTTTATCCTGATGCTCCCCTTCTCCTCCAACCCCTGAAAGGCCCCAGTGTGTGTTGTTCCCCTCCCTGTGTCCAAGTGTTCTCATTGTTGAACTCCCACTTATAAGTGAGAACATACGGTGTTTGGTTTTCTTCCTGCGTTAGTTTGCTGAGGATAATGGCTTCCAACTCCATCCATGTCTCTGCAAAGGACCTGATCTTGTTCCTTTTTATGACTGCATAGTATTCCATGGTGTGTATGTACCACAATTTCTTTATCCAGTTTATCATTGGAGGGCATTTGGGTTGATTCCCTGTCTTTGCTATTGTGAGTAGTGCTGTAATGAACATACACGTGCATGTATCTTTGTAATAGAAGGATTTATATTCCTTTGGGTATATACCCAGTAATGGGATTGCTGGTTCAAATGGTATTTCTTGTTCTAGGTCTTTGAGGAGTCACCACACTGTCATCCACAATGGTTGAACTAATTTACACTCCCACCAACAGTGTACAAGCGTTCTTATTTCTCCACAGCCTTGTTAGCATCTGTTGTTTCTTGACTGCTTAATAATTGCCATTCCAACTGACGTGAGATGGTATCTCAGTGTGGTTTTGATTTGCATTTCTCTATTGATCAGTGATGTTGAGCTTTTTTTCATATGTTTGTTGGCTGCATAAATGTCTTTTTTTAAAAAGTGTCTATTCATGCCCTTTGCCCACTTTTTAATGGGGGTTGTTTTTTTCTTGTAAATGTAAGTTCCTTGTAGATTCTGGATGTTAGATATTCATCAGATGGATAGATTGCAAAAATGTTCTCCCATTCTGTAGGTTGTCTGTTCAGTCTGATAATAGTTTATTTTGCTGTGCAGAAGCTCTTTGGTTTAATTAGATCCCATTTGTCAATTTTTGCTTTTGTTGCAATTGGTTTTGATGTTTTTGTCATAAAATCTTTGCCCATGCCTATGTCCTCAATGGTCTTGCCTAGATTATACACCCACTTTATTGTTCTTTATTGACATCCTAAAAACTCCACCACATTCAATCATGGCTTTGAAACCTGGCTCACTCACCCCACCTCACATCCACCCTTCAGCCTGGGTTCCAGTGCTCAACAACACAGACTCCCAGTGCTTTAACTTCTACCATGGTTTTCATCCTCTGTCTCCTTTCCCCACTTCCAGGTTCCCACTTTGTTCTTTGTCTTCACCTAGAATTTGCCAACCTTAGAAATCTTTAGCTCCAATGTTCCACCTCTGGAAATAATCTCCTGGCCTCCCAGCAGTAGCCCACCCACACTAACATCATGCTTATTTTGCAACATGACTCGGATCTCCGGCCCATGGTCCTTCCATTTAGCCATCTATTAGCCCTTGTCTTGACCCTTCAGATAAGAGGAACATCATGGGAATGACAGGTGTGGTCATTTCATTCCTTCAGCTTGTCTGGAATGGTTCTCTTCCCTTCCAGTTGGGTCAGCTCAATGACTGTGGACAGAACTCACAATTTAAATGCCCACCACGTCAGGAATTGCCTTTCACACACTTGTGCCCAAGATAATTTTAGGAAGGTGGCATTTTTTTCTTCAACAGATAGGGGGCAGTATAGCAAAAGCAGCTCTTTCCTTTGATGTTGGAGATCAGGGAAAAGACATCAAAGGAGCCACAGGGTCAGCCTTGTTTCTTACAAGCTCAAGGCTGTCTGCCAGCACAAACTGACTTCAGTTCTCTTTTGAAAACCTCCTCATCATTTATGAATATCAGTTGTAACTTCTTTGATTTCACGTTCTTTAGATGTAGAACCACCTGTCATAGACTGGTGCAGATCTCCACCTCCCATCCAGGTCTCAGAGAAGGTGTATGCTGCAAGCTGGGATGAGCCTCAATTCTCAGACAACTCAGGTGAGGTGACAAGGACTTTGTCGTCAGCATAGTAGCACTGAATTCTTTTTTTATTTTAAAAAGCTTTTTAATAGGATAAAAGAGAAAAGGCAAATAAAAACTGTCTAAGGAGAATCAATAATTATATAAGTTAACATATTTTAATGCTAGGATAATTATAAGTTAACGTTATTAAACTTTCCTATCCATGAGGGTTTTCCTAATTCAGTATTCCATGGGCATTTGTTGAACCTGCACTAGGTGTTGTACCTAGCAGGGTTCTAATGAATTTCTTGAGTCTCCAAGCTTATGTTGTTCTAGAGGCAGAAACCATGCATTTTATCAGCATCTCTACTGTAGATCTATATATTCAGACTCAGTTCTTAAATACTTAACAAATAAAATTATAAAAAATCATAAGAAAGTAGAAAACAACTAAGCAAATACAACTGAAGTTTATTTTAAAGGTTTCAGTAAAACCCAGAGAACAACAAAAAATGCAAATTAAGTAATTTCTTAATTAAAATCCCAATGTTGTAGCAGACTTACCCATTGCCTAGTTGCTTTGTAGGACATCTTAAAGAACTTTGAGAAAATCAGTTGTTTATCAAAGAAAGCCTTAATTTAATGGGGTTCTTGAATCTACTATTTCTATGTTACTGTATAAATATTAAATCTCTTATTTTCTACTAGTGGGCAAAGCAACACGGAATGCCCAACTGATTTGCATAAGTAGGACATGAAACTTCAAATCAAATAAGAGACTAATAAAGTGACTCAGGCTGGGCACGATGACTCACATCTGTAATCCCAGGACTTTGGTAGGCCAAGGTGGGCAGATAACCTGAGGTCAGGAGTTCAAGACCAACGTGGCCAACATGGCGAAACCCCGTCTCTACTAAAAATACAAAAATTAGCTGGGCATGGTGGCGAGTGCCTATAATCCCAGCTACTTGGGAGACCGAGGCAGGAGAATTGCTTGAGCCCAGGAGGTGGAGGTTGCAGTAAGCTGAGGTCATGCCATTGCACTCCAACCTGGACAACAGAGTAAGACTGTTTCAAAAAAAAAAATAAATAAAGTAAAATAGTGTGAATACAACCCAAAAATTGACTGCCTTCTTTCCTTTCCAGGGGCTGAATTGGTCATTACCAGAAGTCATACACAAGGAGACCTTTTCCCTCAAGGGGAGACTATAGTACAGTACACAGCTACTGACCCCTCAGGCAATAACAGGACATGTGATATCCATATTGTCATAAAAGGTATTGTCTTCGTAAGCCCCCAGAATTCTAGTTGACATTTGATACATGTCATTGCTATAGTGCTCTGTTTTATAAAAGAAAATAGGCTATGAGCATTAGATTTTTACAGTTGGAAGACCGACAGGTTTTATTTAGGTTTTCCATTGTCATTCCTTGACCTTGTGATAGATAAAAATATTTTCTCCCAGAATAGTCTTTAGTTAACATTTCGTTAACATTTTCTCTAAGGTTACAATGTATTATTGACATAATCCTATTTTAAATGTTTGAGAAGACAGATTCTGAAAATATATTTGCTGCATAATGTTATCCAGTTTTTGCTTTTATTAAAGGAATGTCAAAAATAAGGGCAGGGCATGGTGACTCACGCCTGTAATCCCAGTGCTTTGGGAGGCTGAGGCGGGTGGATCACTTGAGATCAGGAGTTTGAGACCAGCCTGGCCAACATTAGTAAAACCCTGTCTCTACTAAAAATAAAAAAATTAGCCAGGCATGGTGGCGTGTGACTGTGGTCCCAGCTACTCAGGAGGCCGAGGCATAAGAATTGCTTGAACCCAGGAGGTGGAGGCTGCAGTGAGTCGAGATAGCACCACTGCACTCCAGCCTGGGCGACAGAGCAAGACTCTGTCTCAAAATAGTAATAATAATAATGATAATAACTCCAAGTCAGAACTACTTTACCTTTTTATAAAACTATGCACAACCTATAATTACACATAGGTACAGCTTTTCAATGTATGTCAATCTAGGACCAAAAAGCAGGCATTGTCCTTCTCTTGCACTAAAGACATATGGTAAAAGCTTTTCTGGAAATAGTAGTAGACAGAAGGAGTCCTTTTCAAAATTCCACTTAAGTTCCTGGAATTTAATTTATGCTTCTTGTACCACTATATATGAATAATACAATTTTTTTTACACAGGTTCTCCCTGTGAAATTCCATTCACACCTATAAATGGGGATTTTATATGTGCTCAAGATAGTACTGGAGTCAACTGTACGTTAACTTGCTTGGAGGGCTATGATTTTACAGAAGGGTCTACTGACAAGTATTATTGTGCTTATGAAGATGGTGTCTGGAAACCAACATATACCACTGAATGGCCAGACTGTGCCAGTAAGTTTTAATTTTATTCTAGACTTCTTTAATGTGTGTGAATGTGTGTACATTTCTAAATGTTAAAGAAGAAAATTGCCTTATAATAGGAATTAGTGGAAAATGGTGCCATGAATTTGAAATGTTTGTGAATAAGAGAATTACTCTTTCCTGGATTTAAAATATTAGCCACTAGAGTCTTGTTATAAATTGTATTGCTGTAGGACAAGATTCAGTTTAAGGCAGAACCGTCTGAGCCTTCTCATTATTTATTAGAAATATCTAGAGACTTGACAATGTGTAATTCTGAACCTGTAAACATGAATTTCAAGTTTCATAGTGGCCAGGCATGGTGACTTATACCTGTAATCCCAGCACTTTGGAAGGCTGAGGTGGGTGGATCACTTGAGCCCAAGAGTTCAAGACCAGACTACCATCTCTACAAAAAAAAAAAAAAAAATTGATTGGGCATGGTGGTGCGCTCCTGTGGTCCCAGCTATTCAGGAGGCTGAGGTGGGAAAATCGCTTGAGCCCTGGAGTTCAAGGAGGCTGCAGTGAACTTTGATTCACGTCACTGTACTTCAGCTATGAATGGAAGATGAAGAATAATATATCAAAAGCAAACTCTTCACTGGGTAACTGAGTCCAGTGATGCTTGGTACATGTTTTATTATGATCAGTTAATGCCTAAAACAGAATGAGACCCTGTTGCACAAAAAAATAGAGAAAAAATTCTTATAGTCTGCAGAAGAGCTGACTTTAAAATAAAATCTAACATATGTGATGGAATAAAATACGTCATTCACAGTCTCTTCACATTTGACTTAGATTTTAAACCATTCTATAATATTAAATAAACATTATTATAAAAATAATCTAATGCATTCATTTAGTGGAAATAAATATTCTCTGAAGTGAATCTGATTCACTACCATAGATGGAATTTAAATACCAGTGTCTTGGAAAAAAATATGAAACCCACTTAACAGAGCTATTTTCCCTCCAGACTGCAGTAGTAAATAGAAACAATACCATTCACTTCTTTCATAGATTGAGACGGTGGGATGCTAGTAGGACACTGTCCCTGAATTCTTCAGGGGCATTTTGCAAAGTCTGCCGTGCAAGCTTTTGATCCAGGGAGAAATTTATCTTTATGACAATTACACTTTCAAGGAATATGGTTGCAGAAAAGTAATATTTAGAAATGTTTCAATGCCTAATTTTTGAAAATATAATATGTATGCTATCTAAGATATAATAACTTTGAGCCAGCCAGGATTTTTCAAAAATTCCCAGGAATATAATGAAAACAATTTTTATATATCTTCTTCCCTTAAATACTCACTTTTTTGTATGAGTGGAAGATAAAGAATAATATATCAAAAGCAAACTCTTCACTGGATAACCGAGTCCAGTGCTGCTTGGTGCATGGTTTATTATGATCAGTTAATGCCTAGAAACTCTCCTTAACTGCCATCTCCTGTTTTTATAACAATCCTACAAATTATGTTAGAATCAAAACATTAAGTTTCAATTATTTCATAGAAAGTCAAATCTTTGTTTTGAAAACACTAACCAACTGAAGCTGTTTTGTCCAATATTTTCTAGAAAAACGTTTTGCAAACCACGGGTTCAAGTCCTTTGAGATGTTCTACAAAGCAGCACGTTGTGATGACACAGATCTGATGAAGAAGTTTTCTGAAGCATTTGAGACTACCTTGGGAAAAATGGTACATCAATAATAGTCATTGATTGTCCTTTCATAAAGGACGTTATTAAGGCTTTCATAGCCTTTCTGAGTCATTTACAACTGCAATTTCTCATCCTATTTCCCTCTTCTTTGTGATCCAGACATGTACCTAATATTTAAAATTATTCATAGATTTTGAACTTCTAGAATGACTTAGAAGTAAATATGCATTAAAACGTTTTTGAATCTTTTAAAACATCCTTAGGAAGTCAAGAAGCTTAAGATCTGGATGGTTTGAGAATGTCTTTATTATTTAAAGTCTGACAAAAATGCCTAACATACTAGGTGGTATTTTGTTTATGATAAGAAGATAATTGGACGCTTAAAAGATAATTATACATTTAAAAGATTTAAAAGATGCATTTTTGTTTAGAAAGGACTCTTACAACAATTATTAAAAAACAGACCAGGTGCAGTGGCTCACGCCTGTAATCCCAGCACTTTGGGGGGCCGAGGTGAGTGGATCACGAGGTCAGGAGTTCGAGACCAGCCTGGCCAATATGGTGAAACCCCGTCTCTACTAAAAATACAAAAAAAAAAACTAGCCAGGTGTGGTGATGTGTGCCTGTAATCCCGGCTACTCAGGAGGCTGAGGCAGGAGAATCACTTGAACCTGGGAGGTGGAGGTTGCAGTGAGTCAGATTGCACCATGCACTCCAGCCTGGGCAACAGAGCAAGACTGCCTCCCCCACCCCCCCAAAAAAAAAGAAGAAAGAAAGAAAAGTGAAAAGAAAAGAAAGCAGAGCAATATATATAACTGTATTGAACATCTTCAAGGCAGGAACCATGCTAGATACATATTTGTATGCCTTGTAGACTGGGTAGCACTTTATTTATTTGCTAACATTTTATTGTGCTGCTTACTGTATGCCAAGCATACAATACACCTAACATATTAACGAATGTCCATTCAAAAACACTTATTAAAAACGTTATATTTAAATCTATTCAATAAAACCAAATTCCAAAAAGAGAAATAATGTTGTCACTGTTGCTAGCAAACCAAGAAAATATTACACCCATTAGGCCTCTGTTACTATAGACCTATACTTGAAAGGCAACAATACACTCACGCTAATTATACTCCACCCCAAAGTGGTAAAGAAATCTTTAAAATATTAAATATTTTTGTATGTGTTAGACTCAGTGTCTACCAGACACTAAATTGTAGCAGGTTAAAGATGCTATAAGGGATTAGAATGTACTATTAAATGCTTATTTGTTCATTTAATAAATATTTAGTAAGTATATCCTATTGTAGACACTAGGGATTTAGATCTGAATAAACAGGCAAAACTCCCTGTGCTCACAGAATTTACATGTTGATAAATACACCAACAGTAAACAAATTACAAGGAAAATATGTAGCATGTCAGATGGCGTATGCTATGGAATAAAATAAAACAGAAGATGGTAAAGCCTCGCTAGGTTCCTATTTGAGAAGAGGCCTGAAGGAGTGAGGCAGTGAGCCATGAGCATATCTAGGGGAAAAGCGTTCCAGGCAGAGGGAGCAGCAAGTGCAAAGGCCCAGAGGCAGGAGTGTGTTTCGGAGTTTGAACCACCGTAAAGACGTCAGAGTGGCAAAGGTAGAGAGGATGAAGGGCTGAGTGATACATGGTCAAAGAAATCACATGTGGAAGAGGAGATGGGAGTAAGAAGAGAAATCAGACTGTGGAGAGCCTCGAAAGTCACTGTAAATCTTTGCCTTTTACTCTAATTGAGATGGAAAGCCATCTGAGGGAACAACTTACTGATGACTTTGGGCTCTAGGAGAAGCAGAAGGTAAGAGAAGAGAGTAAAAAAACCACATAGGAAAGGAAAGCAAGAGATGATGGTGGCTTGGGCGGCACTGGAGGTGGTGAGAAGTTAATGGATTTTTTTATATCTTCTGAAAGTAGATTCAGTAGGACTTGCTGATACATTGGAGGTAGATTGTGGGATAAAAAGAAGAGTCAAGGAGGCAGAGTGTAAAAGGGCATAGGTCTAGGTACTGGGTACTCATGAGGATGGAAGTGTGTGAACGAAGTCTCTTTTCTGAGTTCAATTTTGATCAGCGTAAAAAGATGATCATCTGAGAGTAAGAATGGGGAGGAGTTGTTGGAGGCTTAAGAAGAGAGAAGGTGGTGTAAAATAATTTTCTAAGAAAGGATGAGTAAGTATGCTAAAGAATTGTGGTAAGATTGGCAGCCAGCAAGGTTACATTTTTTCTCAAGCCTTAGTTGACCATGTAGTACAGGTGTGGGAAAGCAGAATGATTAATTTAACCAAGGGTAAGTGTTGTCCAGACAAACAAATTGAGGAAGAGGCTTGCAAGGGAGGAGACGTTCCATGGTGATGGACTATGGAATTTTAGATGAGTAAACAAAGACATGAAGACATGAGGGTCTAAAGGAGAGGCACTAGGGTCAATGGATTATACATTCTGATGAAGTCAAGGAACTGTTGGATTCCTGAGAAGAGGAGAAGGTGCAGTTTCTGACAATGACAAGGTCTGAGGGTATGACTACGGGAGAGAGTGACAGAGTAAAGCTATAATACAAGAAAGAAGAGGGAAAGGAACTGAGAATCCAAGGAGATGGAAGGATTTGCTAGGTGTCTATAGAAATCACCAAGAACTATAACAGGACAGTTACCAAATGTTCTTGGAATGAGGGAGTGACACAGAGGGTAAATGCTGTAGGTGACTGTCAGCAGAAGGGTCAATGAATGGTAGAGTTGATGGCATGAGCTTCAGAACTGTGAGCCTTTAAGGAGATGTGAGGGAGTGTGATCTGGAAACAGCAATAAATAGTGAGAAGGACCTTCCTCCACTTCCAGTCCTGCCACCAATTCCAGGATTCTGGAATTTCTAGTATTTCTAGAATATTTTCTGGGAAAAGTTCCAGAAAATTGGAAAGGTTTTAGGGCAAAGGTGAAGAGAACATAAAGAGAAGAGGTAGAAACTAACAGATTTGCTAATTACTGACTGAGCTTCAGAGGGCATAGAGGAAGGCTTGGGGGATTGGGGAAGAGGAGTGGAAGATGGGGTCAGAGAAAGGGTTCCAAGTAGCCATATAGGATGAAGATTTAGAGCCAGGAGATATCCCAGGAGCCCTGGGTTTCTCATGGTGAGTGACATAGAGATAAAAGGTGTGAAACTAATCCTGGTGACCAACAGACAGTTAGAGGCCGCAGGGGGGGAGGGTTAGAATCCCTTTGAGGAATGTGCAGAGCTCTGGGGCCCTCCCTTCCCTCCTGCTGATAGAGATGTGAAGGCCGGGGAAGCAAAGTTTTTATCCAAGGCATGCAGGAAAGTGATTTACACTTTATCCTCTTCATTTTTTACTTGCAGGTCCCATCATTTTGTAGTGATGCAGAGGACATTGATTGCAGACTGGAGGAGAACCTGACCAAAAAATATTGCCTAGAATATAATTATGACTATGAAAATGGCTTTGCAATTGGTAATTAAATTCTGTGGCATCGGTAGTTGGCAAGACTAATCTGCAAAATAAGAATAATTCCAGAAAAGTGAGGCAAACTAGAAACGTTAACTTTTGTTAATGTATTCATCAAGTATTTTAAGTTGGCTAAATAATTTGATAATGTGCTGAATGATCACTAAGGATATATCAAATTTTAGTAACAAATAAATTATTTAAAATTATTTACCAGGATTCTTAAAAATGACAAAAACTAAGAAAACCAAGTCACGTATGCTGGTAAAATTCAAATGTTGGTGTATCCTAAAAGAGAATAGTAATAAAGTCCTAACAGCAACTTTGATATGGCATTCAATGTAAGTTACAATGAAGTCATTAACATAAAATAGTTACACATGTAAAATATTCAGATTCCTCACCAAAAATATGTTAAGATTTCATTTATTCAAGTCTAATATATCTTTAAGTGGAATTGTGATGTTTTCTCTATGTTTACTGTGAGAAACATATGTTACTATGTTTACTCTGAACATTTTTATTAAGATTATTTTTTGCCAGGCATGGTGGCACACACCTGTAGTCTCAGCTAATTATGGGGATGAGGTGGGAGGATCCCTTGAGCCCAGGAGTTCGAGGCTGCAGTGAGCTGTGATTATGCCACTCCACTCCAGTTTGGGCAACAAAGTGAGGCTAGGTATCAAAAAAAAAAAAATAAGATAATAATAATAATAGTGTTATCAAAGTAGTGTAGTGGTTAAATACGCGGACTCTACAACCAACTATTTAAGTCAAAATCCTGGCCTCACTACCTACTAGCTGTGTGATCTTGAGCAAGCTATCAACACACTCTGTGCCTCAGTTTCCTCACCTATATAAGAGTACTCACCTCATGTGACCATTTTAAGCATTGAATGAACAAGTACAAGTCATGTGCTTAGAAGGTTATGAGATGGTAAGTATTAATTTGCATTACAGCAGACATCTTTTCCATTTCAAATACTAATCATGCTTGTAATATTTTTGGTGATTTAGCATTAAGAGTGATGTTGACTGTTGCTTTCGATTTTTAAATACTTTTAAATATCATTTGTGCATATATGTTTATTAGACAATTTTTAAAATGCTTAAAAACAAAAAATGAAATGAAGATAATCCACAACCCCAGAAAAAGCCTGTAAATACATGTATATATTTATAACTATATATGTAGATCTACATATATATACACCATATTATATATACTATATACATACCATACTATGATATATACATATTACTACATATATGTAACTGTTTATTGTATATACACTGACACTATTTTGAACACAAATTCTTAATTAACATTGTATTGAGGACATTTTTATTCACTAAATATCCTACTTCAATACAGTTTGAATAGCCACATATTATCCCATTGATCAGTTTACCATAATTTATAGAAATAGTTCCCATTGGTAGATTTTGGGTTATTTTCAGTTGTTTACTACTATGTACAACACTTTAGTGAACATTTTGGAAATTAAGGTTTTAGATAGGAAAAAGTAAGGTGGCATTGTCAGTAACATATCTAGAATAATCAGCCCTCTTCTGTTAAACACCATCCAGGTTTCCCCTCCCAGATTGTTGGGGTAGGTTGTGGGGGCACAAGATTACACCTAGAGTCAGTTGTCATCACAAGTCTATGAGATGAGCAATATTTGTCATCTAATAAGGGTCCAAATGGCAGTTCTTGAGAGAAAGGCATGGGCAGGTGGCACACATGATCCTGTGATACTAAAAAACAAGCATTCCTCCCTAAATGTATTCCCAGTAGTCACAAGATCGGTATAACATTTATAACCATGCCTTGGCAGGTCATAATGTATGAAAAATAAACAACCAACAAATATAATAAAATTGACTTGACTTCATAATAATCATGTAATCAAAATTAAAACTAGGCCAGGCAAGGTGGCTCACGCCTGTAATCCCAGCACGTTGGGAGGCTGAGGTGGGCAAATCACCTGAGGTCAGGAGTTAGAGACCAACTTGGTCAACCTGGTGAAACCCATCCCTACTAAATACACAAAATTAGCTGAGCGTGGTGGCACGTGCTTGTAATCCCAGCTACTCGAGAGGCTGAGGCAGGAGAATCACTTGAACCTGGGAGGTGGAAGTTGCAGTGAGCCGAGATTATGCCATTGTACTCTAGCCTGGGCAAAAAGAGCAAAACTCCATCTTAAAATAAAATAAATAAAGTGAAATGCAATTTTTGATCTGTCAGATTAACAAACAAGAATTATGGGGAAAAAAATCATATTCATACGTTGTGTAGAAAGGAGAAATTAAGAGGGCATTTGACAATATGTATCTAAAGGATTTTAAATGCCCATGCACTTAGACCCAGAAATTTCATTTCTAAGAATATTTCTCAAGGTAAAAATCATGCCATTGTGCAAATATGTACCACATTTCATAAATTTTGAGATGCATATTTTTCCTTTAGACCTGAAATTGGGATGTATCTTCTAACCAATGGTATCTTAGATTTGATTAAATACTGTATGTGTAAGGATGTCCTAAAAATTTGAAATAACCTAAAAGTCTAAAAATAGAAACTGCAGGTTTGTGTTGTACCATACAAGAGAGTATTATGCTGCCATTTCACATAGAAATGCCATAAAATTTGAAAAAGATTACTAAATAATACATACATAGTATAATCTTGTTTTGTTAAAAGTGGGTTGTTTTTATTCCAGGTTTGTGTGTGTGTATATGTATGTATGTATGTATGCATAAATGTATATCCGTGTGTATATTTATACATTCATAGTGGGAAAAAAGCTTGCCTAAAATGTTTGTGGTGATTATTTCTATGTGGTTTCTAGAATTATAGTCATTTTTAATACTTTTCTCTTTGCTCATTTTTTTCTTAACACCTACCTAATGCTTGTGGAGAAAAGGCTTAAGTAAAAAGATAATATTAATCCCAGTTAATTTTAATAGCCAAAAGCATAAATAAAGTCAAAAAGTTCAGAAAACAATTTACTTAAGTGGAGAGGCCTATATAAATATGAATTATTGTCTAAAGTACATAACAATAGTATGGCCAGAATAATATTAATATGGTTTTATAATAAGTCAAATACTGAGTTTGACAGCTTATATATTTTGTCTCATTTAATCCAAAGACAAATCTATCAGGTAAGGATCATCTCAATTTATAAATGAAGAAACTGAGGCTCAGAAAGATGAAAGTAACTTGACTAAGATTATACAGCAGCATACATCAAGAAGGCACAATCTGAACCCATGCAGTTAATCACAGTGATATCAAGGGTATCTAGAGAATTCCACGTACCCTTGTTGCCTCCAGTGTGGTTGTATCATAGAGTCATTTAACTTGTGTGCTGCCTTTGTAAACTACCCTTACCTTTAAAATATGATGAAAGCCTCTTGAGTTATCTTCACAAGAGGAGATCTGTTTATGTATATTAATAGTTTATAAGGTCAATTTTAGAAACAGAAAAAAAGGACTTGGGAAAAGCCTTGCAAAGAAGTAGAAATTGATTAGAATTTTGCACCCAGCTCTTATTTACCTCTAAAATTTACCTCTAAAGCTAAAATAATTAACTATTAACTCAAAGATAGAGTGGTATAAATGCCTTGGTAGCTCCATAGAGATTTTTCTTTCTTCTTTTAGTGTATTTCATTGGTAATCTATATTAAATATGAAGTGACCAGAAATTACAATGTATGTAACATTGTAGACCAAACCCTGTATGGAGTATATTATGAGCATTTGAGGAAATAATCAAGTGTAATTTCACTTGTGGCTTAACATTAGAACCTAAATGCTGATGAAAAAGCAACTGTGTGATCATTTGTGTCTCTGCCCCAACTCTCCAGGACCAGGTGGCTGGGGTGCAGCTAATAGGCTGGATTACTCTTACGATGACTTCTTGGACACTATGCAAGAAACACCAACAAGCATTGGCAATGCCAGGTCTTCACGGATTAAAAGAAGTGCCCCATTATCTGACTATAAAATTAAGTTAATTTTTAACATCACAGGTAAGGATAAACTGTCTGAAAAAGTAATATTATGGAAAATTCTTGGTTGGAAACTTGCTTCTCAAATCTTCCATTTGTTACCATTATTAGGAAATGACTCTGGAATTGAGAATTAGGGAAAGCACAGTTAACTAAGTCTTGCCATCTTTTGCTGTCAATATCATAGGTGTCTTTTGTAGGTCTCACGGCGACAAGCACCCTACTTCATTCTCATCTTGGCATGATTAAGGCATACTTTTAAAATGCAAGAATTTACAAGAATTTATTATGTTATAATAAAGAACTCCCAAAAAAGGTGATATAGATTTAGCAATGAGAGAAGGATTGAAACAAATTGTATGGTTCTTAGTCTTATCCATGTATTTACTTAGTTGTTCAGTGAATAGTGGTTAAATTTACTTTGAATTAATTTTTCCTGAAAGATTTTTATTTTTTTTCTATAGACCAGTGATTAGTACTAAAAGATTTTAAATATGCCATTTCTATTTGGTAAAAAAATTAACTACAAATGACTTTCTGAAACACCATGTGTTTGTGTTATGTTTTATTTTGTTTTGTTTTTATCTCAGCTAGTGTGCCATTACCCGATGAAAGAAATGATACCCTTGAATGGGAAAATCAGCAACGACTCCTTCAGACATTGGAAACTATCACAAATAAACTGAAAAGGACTCTCAGTAAAGACCCCATGTATTCCTTTCAGCTTGCATCAGAAATACTTATAGCTGACAGCAATTCATTAGAAACAAAAAAGGCTTCCCCCTTCTGCAGACCAGGCTCAGTGCTGAGAGGGCGTATGTGTGGTAAGACTATTCCCTGTGATCAAAAATATTTGGTGCATACTGGGTCAAATAAGATGGGTGTAGCCATTTTACAACTATAAAGGGATATTGAAATGAAACATATTTTGCTCTTGTTGTGTGGTTGTTATTATTACTATTTTGTCTCAAGAGTCTAAGGAACTACTGTTGGTAAGGAAAAGAAATCTAGTTCAGGTAGGGACTCAAATCTGATTTTTATTTAAAGATTTTTAGACTTCACAGCTTTCAGTAACATCTCCAATAATAATAACGAATACTTTGTGACCACTTCTGTATTCCAGCTGAGCACATGTCATGTTTAATCCTGTTTAGCACCTCTGTGAGGTACCATTTTTATTAAGCACATTTTACAGATGAGAAAACTGAAGCCAGAGAGGCTAAGAATTTGCCTATAAGACTTACCCATTAAGACAGTAAGTGGAGGCCAGGCGCAGTAGCTCATGCCTGTAATCCCAGCACTTTGGCCAAGGCGGGAGGATCACTGGAGCCCAGGAGTTCGAGACCAGCCTGGGCAACATGGCAAAGCCCTATCTCTACAAAAAAAAATATCCTAAAAATTAGCCAAGCATGATGGTGCGTGCCTGTAGTCCCAGCTACTCAGGAGGCTGAGGTGGGAGCATTACTTGAGCTCCGGAAGTCAAGGCTGCAGTGAGCTATGATTGCACGACTGCACGCCAGCCTGGGCAACAGAGTGTGATACTGTCTCAAAAATAAAAATAAAATAAAAGACAGTAAGTAGTGTGGCAAAAAATTCCATCGAGGCAGCCAACACCAGTCTTTTTTTTAATTGAGGTGAAGTTCACATAACATAAAATTAACCATTTTAAAGTGTATAATTCAATGGCATGAAGTACATTCACAATCGTGTGCAACCATCACCTCTATTCCCAAAACATTTTCATCACCCTCAGAGGAGACTCTATGCCCATTAAACAGTCACTCCCTATTCTCCCTCTCCACTCCCAACCCCTTAACTTTTAACCCCTATTCTAGACTGCCATGATCTGGATCAATTCCAGCCTGTTCCCCCAAAGAAATCATCATTTATAGGTAAGGAAATCTCCTGTAATGGAACTGTGTACACTCAGCTGAACCGAATGGCATGAGTCTTATGTTCATCTCTCCGTAAACATGGGTTCTTGTGTCCTTCTTCCACAGTTCTTATTGCTAGTCCAAGAGCTCAGCTGGGTTTTTTATAGTGTGACAAATTCAGCCCATCAAAAGCACATTAAAATTGTTGTTCTAAGCCTGCACGTGTTTCCTCCCCACCTGTGAGTAAAAATCAGGAATCCCATTGACCGGTGTTTCTCATTTCTCAGTGTGATTTTGCATCACCTAAAATGCATCTTGACTCAGGCCCCATCCCAGGACTAATGCATTTGGAGGTGGGGTCTTGAAATCTGCATGTTTAACGAGTACATGGGTAATTATTACACACTCGATCTCAGAGTCACCTAGGTGCTAATTTCAAGTGTCTTCCCCATTAAGGATATTAATTTTGGTAGCAGCCTTTTCAGTTTAATGTTTAATGTTCTATTTTTGTCTCAGAATTTCTGAGCCACTCCAAACCTATCAAATCTCAAAAAAATGAGGGTGCTAACTGACAAGCAGTCAGTTTCAATGGGGAAGCATTCAGAAAAACAACTAAGAAAATGTTTGTAGTGTCTGAAATCCTCAAGGGAACCAAACTGTTTTTTCCTTTTTGTCCCTCGGTTTTTTTTTTGTTAACTGTCTTCTCATGATAATCTGGCTTATCATAGCTTTAACCCACACTTTTAAACCCCTGTTATATAAGCCTTAAGCTTGGTCAGTAAGAATTTGCTTTTTCTTTAAAAAATAAAAGAATGTCTTCCTGTTGGTTTCTGGGAACATATTTCTGAAAGGTTTACCTTGTGAATAAACCTCTGGCCATAAAATTTAACCCATAAACAATAGCACCTGCAAGCATGCTTTATTACTTACATGTCTTAGGAAAAAAGAGCCCAGTGTGTTCCACCGTTGTAGTTTATTCACTGTTTCCTGTTTGCTTTTTCTGCAGTTAATTGCCCTTTGGGAACCTATTATTCTCTGGAACATTTCACCTGTGAAAGCTGCCGGATCGGATCCTATCAAGATGAAGAAGGGCAACTAGAGTGCAAGCCTTGCCCCTCTGGGATGTACACAGAATATATCCATTCAAGAAACATCTCTGATTGTAAAGGTAGAGGCTTACTGGACATTTCAACTAAAGAAGCTCAATTTTTGTTTCCCTTTTGGGGGAAAGAAAGATTTATTTTCTTCACCCAATACTAGGCTCTTGTCTGAGGCCCCTATGGCAAAAGATAGATTTGCAAGAGAAAAGCATACACATTTATTCAATGTAAGTTTTAGGTGAAATGGGAGCCTTCAGAAATGAACCAGAAAAACCTGTGTATTTTTACGCTAAATTCGATGAAGAAGAGGATACTTGTGGAGAAGAATGATCTATTGAGAATAAGTTAAGTGGAGCTTAGCAAGTCTTGATTGTTCAGATTCTTCAATGTGTCCCTGTGTCTTCAGGGATAGGAATATTTTTTTCCTCTTGCCCACCTCTTATAGGGTGGGCATTCCTCACATGAGGGTTTTACAGTCTGCTTCAAAGGGGAAGGTGAGAGAATTATTTCTAGGGTTTACAATCTCCTAAAGGAAAGAAAGGCAGAAGTTCAGAGATGCTTTCCTGCTTCTATGGTTTTCTCAAATTTCCTTTAGCTTGAAATATTCAGTATGCCAAGGCAAGGTACAATATTTGCAGGTAGGATGTCCTAAGCCCCATCACAGTCCTGAAATCTAAATGGCAAATAAAATGAAATAATAGTGTACAGAAAGCAATGTTATTTATTTTTTCTTTCTTTTAAACATAAAATATTACCTGAGTGTTTCCCCCACTTTAACGAAGTCCATTTAGCTTTTCTTTTGGAAATATTCCATTGCTCTAAGTTAAACTCCAATCCGCATTCATCAGTTAGCCTGGTGTATTAGGCCATTCTGACATTGCTATAAAGGAATACTTGAGACTGAGTAATTTATAAAGAAAAGAGTTTTAATTGGCTCATAGTTTTGCAGGCTATACAGGAAGCATAGCAGCATCTGCTTCTGGGGTGGCCTCAGGAAGCTTCCAATCATGGCAAATAAGGAGCAGGCATGTCACACGGAGAAAGTAGGAGCAAGGCAGGGAGTCAGGGCGAGGGGAATGTGTGGTGGCTCACACCTGTAATCCCAGAACTTTGGGAGACTGAGGCAGGCAGTTTGTTTGAACCAAGGAGTTCAAGACCAGCCTGTGAAACATGGCAAAATCCTGTCTCTACAAAAAATACAAAAATTAGCAGACATGGTGGTGTGCACCTGTAGTCCCGGTTACTCAGAAGGCTGAGGTGGGAGGATTGCTTGAGCCCGGGAGGTGGAGGCTGCAGTGAGCTATGATCGCACCACTGTACTCCAGCCTGAGGGACAGAGCAAGACCCTGTCTCAAAAAAAAAAAAAAAAAAGTAAAAAAGAGAGACAGGGGAGGTGCCACATACTTTTATACAATAAGGTATCACAAGAACTCACTCACTAGCACTGGACCAGCACCAAGGGTATGATGCTAAGCCAGCCCTGAGAAATCCACCCGCATGATCCAGTCACCTCCCACCAGACCCTACCTCCAACACTGGGGATTATATTTCAACATGAGATTTGGGCAGAGACCCACATCCAAACTGTATCTGTCACCTGGATTCTTTTCTTGAATCTCACATTAATTAATGGGAAGAAGTTTCATGACACTTTGCAATTATTGAATTGCTTTTTGTTAGAATAGTGTCTGATGTGATGAGATCAGTTCTCCATTTACTTGGAAATGAATAACTACAAGCACATACGCACATATTCTTGCTACTAAAATATTCAATATTTTCAAAATATTTTAACTATTATTTTTAATAAGAGTTCCTGATGGAAACATTTTCTCTCATAATTAAGGTTGCAGCAAGACATGCCTAAAATAAGGAATTTCAGAAGCGTGCTTCTTTGCCATAGTTCTGAATGCAGGTGTGGGTGCTTAATGACTGATATAAACTCTAGAGCAGTGCTGCGTAATTGGAAATGCACTAAACGTGTTAGCAATGGTGAAAAGGAGAGTTGTTTGGCGGTCAAAAGCAGAAAGAAAGGTCAGTACTCTGGGAGTCAGGGCATCTGGCCAAAGTCCTCTTCTTCTACAAATCATCCTTATGAATTTAGAAAGTTGCTTCACCTCTCTGGGCCTGAAGGTATGTCTACTTTTATGCTCTACTCCTCACCAGCCCTTGGATGAAATGGCGTCTCTAGGTAAGAGGAGGTAGCAGAGCTAGTTCTTATTTAGAGCAGCCAGTTCTTTTTTAAAGCAGAGATGTCAGAGTAGTTTATAAGGCGCTAGCTAGGTTTGGGGTTTTGTTTCCGCCACTCAGGATAACAGTGTACATATTGAGAACTTCTACATGAACAAATTCCCAGTGTACAACTTGTTCCTATCATAGTGTCCTTCTGTGCTATGTATTTCTAACTTCATTTGACAGCTATTTATTGAACATGTTCTATGCATCAAACGCTGTAAAAGGTCATAACGCAAGTAAATGGAAATAGTCTAAAACTTAGTATAGAGAAGCATGGTGGTGCCACAATATGCATATGCTTAGCTAACAGGAGAAAGAGCCCTCTGGGTTCCTCATTCTGTCCTAAGTTGCAGAAAACCCTGTCCCACACAGTGCTAATTTTGTGCGGCTTAATATCATTGTTGATAATAATATTACCTTTTTCTTTTCAGCTCAGTGTAAACAAGGCACCTACTCATACAGCGGACTTGAGACTTGTGAATCGTGTCCACTGGGCACTTACCAGCCAAAATTTGGTTCCCGGAGCTGCCTCTCATGTCCAGAAAACACCTCAACCGTGAAAAGAGGAGCCGTGAACATTTCTTCATGTGGAGGTTATCAAAGCCTTAGGCACTGATATTTCTTTAAACCTACTAGGTTCTATGCATGAAGGAGTGGCATATTTTCAGCAAAACCATACATCTACTGTATGCACAGAATGGAAATAACTGTCTCTTCATAAAAAGGTTTTTTTTGTTTAGTTTCTTAGCCAGTTAACACTTAGGTATAAATACCTGCTGTGTAAACACTGGGCTGGGTTAGGAACACTAAGGAAGTACAAGACTTTGTCTCAGGCCTCAAACAGTAATAAGCATGTGGCTTCGTGATATGGTAGAAATATATCTAAGCTAGGAACTTCATTCCCTCCTTTATAAAGTGAAGTTCTGTCTAGTATTTCTTGAAACTCTAAACGTATTTTATTCTGTGGGTTATTACATTTCACTCCCTATGAGTTGAAGGTTTTCATGACTGGTTATTCACTCGAGCAGCACATTAGAATCATCTTCACATTTACGTGAGTATTTTTAAAGTACTGAAACCTGATCTTCTCTTCCAGAGATTCTGACTTAACTTATCTGAGTAGAGGCTGGGAATTGGTTTTCTTAAGTTTCCCCAGGTGATTATTTGAGGTGATTAGGAAAATCTGAGAGCCACTAATTTTGGTTCTCAAATGTCAGCCTGGAGAGCTTTTTAAGACAGATTGTGAGGCCCTACCTCCAGGGTCTTTGATTAGGTAGGTCTGGGGAGGGGTCTGAGAATTTGCATTTCTATTAACAATTAGTTTTCAAGTAATGCTGATTCTACTGGTTCAGGGACCACAGATTGAGAACCACTGGTTTAAATAGAAATAAAAAGATGAGAGTTTCAATTTTTAAGTATTTCTGACTAACATCCGTACTGAGGGATGTTTTCCAGCAAAATACTCATGAACATGTAAACGAAAACAAAAGATGAAAACTTAGAATGACAATGAAACTAGGACTGACAGTCAAGGTCAGCCTACTTCCAGAAATTCCAAAACATTGCAACTACTGTAATTTGCAAAGTCAATAGAACTGGACTAAAAATAAAAGGTTGTTGGCCTACCTCTGCTACTCACTGGGAACCGAACAAACATTCCTTGATGAAATATTTTTTTTAAAAAATTGTGTATCCTACCTCTACAGTTTTATTTAAAAACCTAAAGTCTATGGCAACTGAGAAATGAAGAAGCTGTACCCATATTGAATGAATGGTATTTTTAAGAAGCCAACCTACTGGTTCCCTACTTCTCTCAGACAACACAGAGACACATAGGCACACTTCCTCCTCGCACTGCATACTAGCCATGCTTGAATTCATCCAGTTAGAGATTACCAGTAAACAAGAGCTAGGAAAAGTTAATGTGCAAGGGCAGGAAGGGGTGTTTCCAGCATTGCATCTTGGAAGTTGTAGTCCTTATAAGTTAAGTACATTGGGACAAAAGGAAACAGGCAAAACACATTCTGAATGATCTGTTCATATATACTTCATCTGTTTAAATTATCTCAGTCCAGTGGAATCAAGGTAGATACAAGTCTGTGAGACTTGAGGCATTGGGCAAGTAACATCAACCTAATAGTTTCACTGAAGAGTTGAGAAGAAAATTTAGGGCCTAACTGAAACTCATAAACCATGTCTGTTGGATAATACCATCTTTGGATCTTTTTTGGTTTTTATAAGTTCTAGGGAACATGCACAACATGCAGGTTTGTTACATATGTATACATGTGCCATGTTGGTGTGCTGCACCCATTAACTCGTAATTTACATTAGGTTATCTCCTAATGCTATCCCTTCCCCCTGTCCCCTCCCCACAATAGGCCCAGGTGTGTGATGTTCCGCTTCCTGTGTCCAAGTGATCTCATTGTTCAGTTCCCACCTATGAG